CGTGGCCCCCCAACCCACCGGCCAAGCACACGCGGAGGCAGGCTCCCAGCCGCATTCCGGCGGAGCGGCGAAGGCGCGGGTTGGGTGACAGCGACAAAGGAAACTGCTCCAGCTGCGCACTGCCTGCTGGGGTTTGCTGTGGGATTGATCTGAGGACTCTGGTTTTTTGCGGGGAGCAGCTCCCTGTAGCCCGAGGGTGACGAATAGACAGAAAACTGGCAGCGTGGCGGTGGGTGCTGATGGCTTCGGGCATCGGGTTTCATCCGTTTGGCTGTAAGAGTATCCCTGGGAACATGCCATGGCCGAACTCACTGACTTGGAATGGGAAGCTGCGTGGTTCCTGACTGGGGGAGTAAGAACAGAGTAAACAGGTTCTCAAACCTCCCAGATAGGGCCAGTTCCGCAGGGAACCTTGGGATTTTGCCGTCGTTGAGCTTTCCAGTCGGAGGTGGCTCGCTCAACGCAGGTCCTCGTGGTAAAACACCTCAGGACCCAGATCTGTGTCTGCCTGGGCCGCAGAGGAGCGCCAGGATGGGGAGAGCTTCGGGCTGTGCTGGGAGCGGGCCGAGCGGAGCACCCTTCCCCGCAGCGCGGGGGGCCTTTGGGCAGGAAGGGTGGCTTCTCCCCGGCTTACGTTCTGCGCTGGCGGCAGCCAGTCCTTGCCCAGAGGGGACGGGGCTTTATCAGGCTCTTTCTAGTGGGACTTGTGCATTGTAACTCCCTTTTTTAACAAAACGTGGTTGTGATTTCATGCCGGTATCTTCGGGACACTGTTTCCTAATACAAGAAATCGGTTTCCTTTTATTCTGAGAGTCATTTTTCTGATGTCCGGTTTCACCCCTCTGGCAGCACCTTCTCTTGCCGTTCCCGAGAGGGTAGGAAGCTGTCGGCCTGGGCAGGGCTACGCCGGCGCGTAGGGTCCGGCTGCCAAACTAAACCGAAGGCCGAAGGAGATGCGGTCGGAGGTGTTGGAGTCACACGGGATTTGACACGGCAGCAGCCATGCCTTGGAAAACACGGAGCGACAGCGGGAGTAAATGAGATGGATGCCTTCAGGAAAGCTGCTGGGCTGTCCCCTTGGGAAGCACTCGGATCCTGTGACCGTGGGCACCGTGGAGAGGGGGAAGGCAGCGTGGGCTGCCTGCAGCTCCCACCGGGTTCAAACTAGACGGGCCGTGTGATCCTTCGTCGTTCTGAATCCATGTTCTCCATGTGCTGGGCTTGGCTCAGGGGTTTAACAATGGCTGCTCGGTCCCTTCCCTCTCCAGTGACTCTTGTTTCCCACACTCGAGGGGTGATGAGGATTGATGTGCCCAGCTTCGCGCGAGCGTTCGCTGAAGCGGCCTGTGACTGCTGAGCGCAGCAGATGGGGGTCTGTTTGTGCTCTGACACTGTTGAACACCATCACCTCTTTGAGAATTGGGTGTGTTAGCCCCGTGTCTCATCCCCAGGTGGTATTTTGACCCTTCCTAGGGATTTCCACAACCTGTCTTGAGAGGCTCCGAGGAGACCTCATTGCAGCTTTCCAGTACCTGAAGGGGCTACAAGGGGGCTGGGAGAGGACTTTTTACAAGAGCCTGTAGTGACAGGACAAGGGGTAACGGGTACAAATTGAAATCAGGGAGGTTTAGGTGAGATATCAGGAAGAAATTCTTCACAGAGAGGGTGGTGAGGCACTGGGACAGGTTGCCCAGAGATGTTGTGGATGCCCCATCCCTGGAAGTGTCCAAGACCAGGCTGGATGAGGCTTGGAGCAACCTGGTCTAGTGGAAGGTGTCCCTGCCCATGGCAGGGGGGTTGGAACTAGATGATCTTTAAGGTCCCTTCCAACCCAAACCATTCCGTGATTCTATGATTGTATGATTTGTGTCCCTGGTGAATAAACTGGGGTTCGTTTTCTCCCGCTGTCCCTGTCGGGCGTCGCTCCTTCGCAAGGTAACGTGACGTGGGGTGACCCGTCCTTCCCTTCCCTTCCCCGCAGGTCGAGCTGGCACTACAGCCAGCTGGGTGGGAAGGAAGCGGAGCGCGGCAGCGGGCGCTCTCGTGTGC